GGTGCGCCTGCAGAGGTTTGGGTCTCAGGAACCGCGGAGGGAGCGCCCCGCTTGCGGTCTGGGGTACCCACCCCGAGGACAGGAAGTGGGTCACGCTGGCCCCGAGGCCGACGAGCAGGGTTTCGCTGGCCTGCCGTCGCCAGCCAGTGGGGAAAGGGGGCCTGGATGGGGTGACTCCCGAGGACGATGTCCTTGTGGGCCGAGCGGACCCGGGCGCGTGTGCACACCCTCTGTCAGAGTTGCCGGGGTGGGCGCCGTGAAGGTACCGGGGGCGTGCGTGCGGGGCGGGGGTGGCGGGGGATGTGGAGGGACGGTGGGGGGTGTGTCTCTGTTTGGGACGTGGTGTCTGTTCGCCCGCCTACGTACAACGGGAGGTTGTGCCCGCTGAGTTCTTTCTCCAAGGCCCAAACCCAGGGGCACGGTGTGGACCTCTGGGATCTCTTCTTACCTGCCTCTTGCTGTTGAGTCGTTTTTGTGTCCGTATGTCCTTTGTAGTTATGAGTCAACTGGTGAACCCCTAGACGTTCGGGTTCACTAGTTAGAGGTAACTTGGATTTTGTAAGGGAATGTTTCTCTCCAGCGGGCATTTCCCGGTGTCCCCGAGTGGCTCAGTTGTTTAAGGATGAGAATTTCGCTCACCTGATTGAGTTGTGGTTCATTGTTCGGAGCCAAAGTCCGGCTCTTTGGTGAGTGCTCAGTGCCTGGAGCCTGCTTCAGATTCTCTGTCTTCCTCTCTCTCTCTGTTTCTCCCCTGCTCGTCCTCCTTGTCTCTCTCTCACAAATAAAGATGAAAAGCATTTTTTTTTCTTCAACGGAATTTTTATTAAGAAATAGAAATCGGTATCTGAACTACGTGTCTGAACTACGAAATAGGCACTCCTAGTGATTTGTGAGACTCTTGTTCTTCTCTCTTCGTAATTAAAATGTTTTTTCTTGTGTTATTTTTTTTTTTTGTGAGAGAGAGAGAGAAGGTGCAAGTGACCAAGGGGTAAAGAGGGAGAGAGCAAAGCTGGGCTCACCCGAAGAGGGGTTCAAAGTGAAGAACTGTGAGATTCCGTCCTGAGAAGTCTGATGCTCAACCGAGTGCGTCACCCAGGCGTTGTCTGATATTCTTATTCCAATTTCCTTTTTACTCCAGTTTCAGAAATTGCAAGGATAGAAGGAAGCTGCTTCGTCCCTTATCATAGGTAAATGGAGTCTCAGTTTTGTTCTTCTATTTGAGTTGCTGAAAAATATCCATATTAATGAGGAAACAAGAATTACAGGAACAACTATGCCAACCTAAACCGATTCATCATTCCAGTACGTTCTGGCTTGCAAAGTTTCTGCTGAAAAATCAGATGATAGCCTTGTGAAGGTTCTTCTGTACGTAGGTAGGTGCTTTTGTTTGCTGCTTTTAAGATTCTAAGTTCTGATATTTTCGTGATCATCTCTTGGTGTGGTCCACTGATTTCATCCCGTTCGGGGCCTTCTGTGCCTCCCAGACCGGTTTCTTTCCCAAGGAAGGGAAGTTGTAAGCATTATTTCTTTATCTACCTTTTCTGTTCTTTTCTCTCTTTTTCGGGGACCCCCTGCAATAAATATGAATGTCAATATGTTTGATGTCCCAGAGGTCTAACGTGGTCATTAAAATTTTTTTGTTGTTGCTCAACTTTGATGATTTCTAGCTATTCTATCTTCCAGATTACTGATCGTTTTTACATATTGTATTCTTCTTTGGTTTCATATTTCTCTTTGTTGAAGTTTGAGTTCATCCACTCTTCCCTCACTTCTAGCAAGCATCTTTATGAGCATTATTTTGAACATATAGACAGATTGCTTATGTCCATTTTTAGTTCTCCTGACGTGTCTTATTCTTTCATTTAGAACATATTCCTCTGTGTCATTTTGCCGGACTTTCCCATTTTATTTTTTTTAAAGTAATCGTCATCCCCAGCGTGGGGCTCGAACTCACAACCCGGAGGTCAACAGTCACATGCTCCACCGACTGAGCCGACCAGGTGCCCCTGTCCTGTTTGTTTTTATGTATTAGGAAGACCGTGTCTCTTGGTCTTCAAGGAGTGGTTTTACGTAGAAAGCATCCTCGGGGGCCCAGAAGCACGATGTTACCTGAACACTAGAATGGGGTGTCCCACGTAGGCAGAATGCACACACTCTGGCTGGGCCATGACTGCCAGGGGTGGGCTGGTGGGTGGGATTAGACCCCAGTGTGGTGGGCTGTGAGGTCCAGTCACGACTGTTACGGGTACACTGGTAGGGAGTGTCGCCCCCCCCCCCCCATTGTCCTGGGTAGGAGGGGCTTTAGAGGGCTGCCGGTCCCAGCCAAGGCTGCCCACCAGCCATGTCAGAGTGGCAGCTGCACTGGGGTCTTCCAGCCCCGGCCATGGCTACCGACGTGTGCGTTGGGGAAGGGACTGCTTTGGAGGGGCTGCTTTTGGGGCAAGGTGAGTGGTTCTCACAAGGCAGACAGAGAGTGTCTGAACTGGGGCCCTCCCGTGTTGGCCCAGCTAGGCAGGAGGGCAAGAAACATGGCCCAGAAATTCATCAATCTCCCTTAGCTGTGGCCCAGGTACTTTTCAAAGTGCTGCCTGTGTGCTGAGTCTGTGAGCAAGTGAGTTTGTACACGAGCCCTTGAAAAGCAGAGTCTCCTTTCCTATTGTCCTCTGGCTCTCCCAGAGTGAAGGCCCAGTCTCGGAGGTAAGCCCTGCTGATCTCAAAGACAGACGTGATGGGGGCGCATCTTTTTGGTGCAAGTACCCAGCTTGGCGGGGATGGGGGGGTGGCTGATGTGGACTTTGACACTCTTCCTCCTCAGGGAGGACATGTGCATCGGTGATAGCCGTCTTGGTGGATACTGGGAGTGTGCGTCCTGAACAGACTTCTTGACATGGCTTCTTTAGATCTTTAAGGCGTGAATAGTTCTGCTAGTGTTCGGGTGCTTCTCAGAGTTGCTGTATATGTAGTTGTAGCCTTGGTGCGTCAATGGGAAGAGGGGAATGCAGGGGCCTCCTAGCCTGTCATCTTAAGATTCCCAACCAAAATTGACAAGGAAGTCACGGTTTGAGTATTTATCTGAGAAATACGGGAAAATAAAAAACTAAGAGTTGATTATGGTTATATTTACAGAGCTTTGTTTCTCTCTTTAGTTCAGAGTAGAGACTGGTGATATTTAACATACTGGAGAAATACTCGAGCTTAAGTGAACTGAGCGGTATCCATTTTTAATGGGCTTTTGTATGAGAATGTAAGCATATGGTAGGAGATCCTGAAGGATGCCCACTATACAATTACAGTGTCAGCTACGGGAATGGCATGAACATGAAGGCTGATGGCCAAGAGAACTCATTATTTGCTGACCTAATGTGTGCCAGACGCTCTTCTTAATAATGGAAATACAGCCATTAAAGGGACAAAAAAATGTCCCTTCTCACATGAGGCTCACATTCCAGTGGGGGAGAATGAAAAAGTAAGATTGATGAGACGTGTATATACCATGATGGATGATGACCCATCCTATGCAGCACACTTAGGCAGGGGAGGGGAGCAGGACCTGGGGAGGCTGGGGGGATTTGCACCTTCAGGTAGGTTGGTTCAGGGACGGCATCACTGAGGGGACAGAGATCCCGAAGGAAGGTAGGGGGAGAGCCCTGTGGAGATCTGGGGATGAAAGACACAACGAGAGCGAACACCCAGTACCTCTTCCCGCCTTTAACCTGTTTAAATCTTTCAGCCACTGACCAGCGGTCACCTTCCCTCCCAAGTTGACACCAACAGGTGCCGTGTTGGATTTTGGCAATATGCAAGTGGTCAGGTGGGGCCAAAAGTACCGGGACGGTTTATGTGATTAGGATATGGTTTAAGGCCTTTTCCACTTTGAATAAACTGAGGCTCTAGCTACACACACTAAGCGTGTATGCTTCCGTAAAATGGATCACTTCAGAAGACACGTATAGATTGTTCCTTGCTTAGCGTCTTGGCAATTCTGTGTTTCTTCAGTAAGCTGTAGGCCCACTGTGGGCCTTCAACACACGACCCTGAGATGGAGTCGTATGCTCTGCCGACTGAGCCAGCCTGGCGGGGGGGGGGGGGCGCCTTGCTTAGCATCTTACGTGGCTCGGTCCAGTTTTGTAAGGTGTTTACAGGTAGCTGAGTAACAGAGCTGTACAAAACGCAAGGTGTCCCTTGCCACCCAGTGATGGGACGGACGCTCATCTCTCATTAGAATCATTAAGTTACAAGTGGGAAAAAATTTCCATATCCGTGGATGCAGGGCTGACAGGTTATTTCATTAACCTCAGGGGCAGTAGCTCAGGGACATCAGCAAAAAGGCAGATGGGTATCTTTGGCCACAAGCCTGAATCCCAGCAAGTTACAAACTGAAGTCACTAAATGGTCACAGTTGGTGACATCACAATGGATTTATAGCATATAAGACCCAGACCAGCTTTAGGTTTAGGCTGATTTCTCCTAAGGGTGTGTGGTGGCTGGAAGAGTTTCTCTTACAGAGGAAGTAAAAGATTGATACATTTTTCTCTTTCATGTAGAATCTTTACAGAAATTGATTTGGGTCTGTGACCAGGGTAATCAAAAATACTTTCTTTCCTTTTTGGGTCCTGGGTTTATAAGAAAAGTGAGAGAGCATGATCTTCAGTGTGTGCTGCACGAGCAGTGGTGTGGACCCAGAGTTCAGGCATAGGCGAAGGACGGACACGGATTTCACACTCCTGATAGGTGTGTGAGTGAACTCTGAGTTGCACTTTGATTCTGTGTTAGCCCCTCTGTACACAGGCTCCTTTTTCAAAGTAGGCCTCTCACTGAACTTCCTCTGGTAACATCTGGTTGGCACCGTGTCCACGCATGCTCAGTCGCTCTAATGATGATGCGATCATGATGCGATCATGATGCGATAATGATGGTGATTATGAGGGTTCTGCCTGGGGAACTGGAAATAGTAACGTACCTGGTGAGTTCCAAACTCAAAGCCCAGCAAAGGCCATTATTTGACTAGCGTTGATGTTGTGCATGTGGTAGGGATGGAGTAGAAGTTGTGCCTTGTGTTTTATCTCCTTGATGTTTTGCAAGCATGACTTTCTGAAATGTTTTAATCCGGCTTATACCGGTGCCACAGAGGTTTTGTAGAAATCCTGTGTACGTTAGGTTTCAATGAGTATTATAGCTATGTGCTTAGTGCCCGAGGTTGAGCAAAGAAAGGCAGTTAACTTCAGTAACTTGAGACCTTTTCAAGCTGTCAGGGTAGCCTGATATATTTATTACCTCTAGCACCAGCAAAGATGTCAGGCGATCCTGTTTGTCTCCCTAGAGTGAGAAGGAAAGGAGGACCCTCCTGTCCTGTCCTGTACCCGATCTGGAGGATGCCATTGGAACTTCCCTTGTGAGATGTAGTCTGCTCTGGGGCCTTCTAGTCAGCAGTTTTATTTATACCTAATCAGAGTCTCTGTTGGGGAGGATCGACCATAAACTCACTTGTCATTTCTTTAGAAGAAGAAAACTCTACCTGTCGGATGCCAATTCTGTGCTGTTCTTTTGGTCCGTAGCACAGGGCAGGCTCCGAGTAATAGTGAAAGATGACTAGCTTATTATCACGATGTATCCTTTTGTGAGTTTAATAGTAATACACATGCAGGTGGTTTAGAACGTTAGACACGTTTGATGATGGAGCCCTAAGAGACCGTTTTCTGATGGTTGTCGTGGCTTATGACCTCTTCTGGGCCATGCCCTTGGCGCGCTCTCTCCTGCTGACATGGGTGAGTGGGTCAGGGTTCAGCAGACGTTGGCTTTCTGTGCCCCGTGTCAGCTCCGAAGTTCTGTGAGTCAGCAGTGGGAGTGGGGAGAGAGGACAGGCAGCACCGAACAACCCCTGTGATCCCATCAGCCTGCCGTCTCTGATTTTGAACAAATCTCTTTACTTCTCCGGGTTTTGATCTTCAGCTAATATGTGGGTCAATTAAATGAAAAGGTCTTAAAAACGTATGATCGAGGACCCTTCGGAGATGCCGATTAATAGTATGAAAAATAAATTTTAAAAGCGGACATGTGCACAAATTAGCAGATACCTAAGTACAAGGAAAAGTCTAGACCTCTCTTTTCAAAGCTTTTTATTGAAGAATAATCAAAATAGTGTTTACGTCAGGTACATAGTATAATAATTCCTGTCAACAAATGTTAGACTCTTAGTGACTACATTTCCTATGCTGTATTTTCATCTCCATGACTTAATTACTTTGTAACTGTAAGTTTATCCCTCTTCAAAAAAAATTAAAAAAAAATTTTTTTAATGTTTATTTTTGAGAGGATGAGAGTGGGGGTGAGAGTGGGGGTGTGTCTCTCGGTGCACAGAGAGACACAGAATTTGAAGCAGGCTCCAGGCTCTGGGCTGTCAGCACAGAGCCCGACATGGGTCTCAAACCCACGAACTGTGAGATCATGACCTGAGCCGAAGTCGGACGCTCAACAACTGAGCCGCCCAAGTGCCCCTAATGTTTATTTTTGAGAGCGCAAGTAGGGGAATGGCAGAGACAGGGGGACATAGGATCTGAAGAGGGCTCTGCACTGACAGCAAGAGAGCCTGACAAGGGGCTCAAACTGGCGAACCATGAGATCATGACCTCAGCCAAACTGGGACGTTTAACTGACTGAGCCACGCAGGCGCCATTAGAAGTTTATCCCTCTTAATCCCCTTTATGTTTCTCCCACTCCCTTCCGGCAACCACCAGTTTGTTCTCTGTACTGAAGAGTCTGGTTTTCTTGTTCTTCTTGGTTCATTTATGTTTCTTAAATTCCACATATGACTAAAATCATATGGTATTTGTCTTTCTCTCTTTGGCTTCTCCCACTTAGCATAACACGCTCTAGGTCCATCAATGTCGCTGCAAATGGGAAGATTCCTTTTTTTTTTTTTGGAGGTTTATTTCTGAGAGACAGAGCATGAGTGGGGGAGGGGCACAGAGAGAGAGGTACACAGAATCCGACGTAGGGTCCAGGCTCTGAGCTGTCAGCACAGAGCCCCGATGTGGGGCTTGAACTCATGAACTGCGAGATCATGACCTGAGCCGAAGTTGAACGCTTCACCGACTGACCCACCCAGGTGCCCCAACCACATTTAAACAAATCTAACAAACATCCTAGAAGCTTGCAACCGTACAAAAAGGACAGAGATACCTGTAGCTGAATTACTTGTGCTTGATTAGAGGAAGTAAATATTAGGAGCAGGGAGGAACTATTCCCTCAGAATACTGTGAACTGCCTGTTTATATCCTTTGCTCTTTTTTTTTTCATTTTGCTGTTTATTTCTTAGTTTTCTTAATTTTCTAACGTTTATTCATTATTGAGAGACAGAGGGAGACAGAACACGAGCACGGGAGGGGAAAGAGAGTCAGCTGCACACATGTAGCTGCCGTCTCGGTGTGTCCACCGGATGAGGGGAGATCAGGATCCTCCTACTCTGCCATCTTCCTGACCTCCTTTGCATCTCGGATCTCTCTCTGAAGAGCACCTCTACTCCGGGTGCTTGATTTCACTTCCGATTTTACAGCTCTGTCATTCTAGTGCTTTCTATCACTCAAGTCACACAGGCCCCTACCTGAAACCCTCCAACCATTTCCCACTGAAATTAGAGTAACAGGGACGCCTCAGTGACTCAGTCGGTTGAGCATCTGACTTCGGCTCAGGTCATGATCTCACTGTCCATGAGTTGGAGCCCCATGTCAGGCTCTGTGCTGACAGCTCAGAGCCTGCTTCGGATTCTGTGTCTCCCTCTGTCTCTCAAAAATAAACATTAAAAAATTAGAATAACAGAAATTCCCAAACATGGTTACATGAATAAAATCTAGCTACTCTTTGCCCCTCACACGGAGCTTTTGGCTATGCCAACTGAAGTTTCACTTGTCATTGTCAGTGAGTAGGTCTGATGAATATTTTCAAGTCTTTGAGCAACCATTATTTTGACATTTTGAATACAACAGCAATGGGAAATGCATAACATAATTTGAAGATAATAAGTAGGGTACAAATGAAAAACAATAATACAATTTGTAGACCTATTCTACAACGTGATGTCATGTTTGGCGTTACAACCCCCAGCCAGGAAAAGAAACCTCAAAGGAGATGGTCACTGGTAATTGACAGAAAAGCCTGCAGGGGATCACATTCCTGGGTACGTCCACAGCTATTATCTTCATAATCAGAAGGATCTTCATCAGATACTCTATTATGGAGAAGTCCCTTGTGATAGGAGATCAGTTGTGATCTGAGAACTGTGAGGGGGGGAAATAAGGTGACCTGAAAAGCCTTGGCCAGTAATTCTCCAGCTGTCCAAACAACTGGAGGTGCACAGAATGCACAGGTCTTATTTTTGTAAAGGAGAAGGGGGGATAGCATCTAGCTAGGGATAGTGGTTTGGTTAAATGAACAGATTTCTCATAAAAGAGCACCACTGAGTTGTTGAAAGATTGTATCAGAAGGTCTGGTGCAGAATGGGCTGGTACATTCAAGTAGGAATATCCAAAAGTCTTGGCATAATGGAGATGGGACAGTTGAAAAGATTTCTATTAGAACAGGTGGAAGATACACAATTTGTAAAGAGGAAATCATATAAAGGGAAGGGGTGGGTTTCCATTTTTTGCTAACCCATTGACCCAGGAGGTAGGTGGTCAGCATAAAACATGGAAGGTTTTCTTTTTTCTATTTTTATTATTTTTTGAGATAGAGAGAGACAGGGAGTGAGTAGGGGAGGGGCAGAGAGAGGGAAACAGAATCTGAAGCAGGCTCCGAGCTGTCAGCACACAGCCCAATGCAGGACTTGAACCCATGACCCACAAGATCATAAACTAAGTGGAAGTCAGACGCTTAACCGACTGAACCACCCAGGTGCCCCAACATGGAAGGTTTTCTTAAGGCAAGAACATCCTTACGTTGAAAGTGATGGGAGGGATGTGTTTTGCTGTAACTAATGGAAATATTTGGAGGTATAAACTGTATATAGGTTAACATTATGGGGTATTATTATCAGTAAAAGACCCTAGTAGGAGTGTGGTGACAAATCCAACAGTCAGAAAGGTTTCCAGAAGCAACAAGGGATTGTGACACTTGAATTATAGCATTGTTTTCCCAATCAAAAGTGGAAATGGAAGAGAAAGAAGCCTCATGAGGACTGGTATGATGAATCTTGTGAACATAATACTGGCCTGCTCCCGAGTCTTGTGAGAGGAGTCTCTGAAGATGTCATCTGCTTCACTTTCCAAGAAAGGGTTAGTTTGAGGTCTCCTGTTGGTTTGGTGGTCCAGTCAGATGTTGAAGCCTCTTTAAAATGAAAAACATGAACCCGTGAGCCTGTGCCTTTTAATTTAGCAGCACAATGATTGGTCAATAGTACCTGGTATGATCCCCTCTCGCAAGGCTGGAGGGAATCTTTATGGAGAGCTTTCCGATAAACCATGTCTCCAGGCTGAAGGTCATGATGTTTGATGTTTTTATCTCCTAGGAGTGCACTGTGAAAAGACTGTTCTATCAATTTCTCACTTCTTTGAAGGGGCTATATCAACCCCTTAGAAGTCATCATCTTACCTTTAAGTAAAAGTTTGGTTCATATGCATCTTGATCTAATCTCATCAGTCTTCCAATATTCTTTCAAAGGGTGAGAGTTAGATCTATTCGCAGTGGGAAACACAAAAATTCAGTAGTACCAAGGGAAAGGCTTTTGGCCATGGCAAGTGGGAAAAATCCCAAAGTTTCGCTAGTTACGTTTTTATAATGCCATTGGTTCACTATAAAAGGCTGCATGATGGAGGATGGATAGGCACCGTAGAAATGGTGCATAATTGGCTAAAGGTGGCAAATGGCCTATACTATCTATCCAGTGAAATGGGTCTCTCAGTTACTATGAAGTTCCAAGGGTATTTTCCCCAATTGGGAATAATCTTTTCCAACAGGATTTTTCCTATTGCTTCAACTGTAGCTCTGTGTCAAGGAAAGGCTTCTATCCACTGAGAATACATACAAACCGTTACTAAAACATACTTCTACCTTTGCGATGGCACCAGCTAGATGAAATCCAATTGCCATATCTCAAAAGGGCCCAGAGGGTAAGGGAAAATGTCCCTTTGAACTATGAAGGGGCTTCCAGAGTTATGTTTGGGGCAAATCCGACATTCTTTATAACATTGGGGGGCTATTTCTAGAGATGGTTTCCAAAAATATTGTTTTCCCAAAGGACCATCTTGCCAATATTTCAATGGGTAAGTTCATGAATCCAATTAAGAATGGAATGGGTTCCTGGATGGGGCACCCAGGACTCAGCACTCCTACTGCGTGTTTATCCAAAGGAAATAAAGTCACTATCTTGAAGAGATATTTGCACACCCATCTTCATTGGAGCATTATTCACAATAGCCAAAGCATGGAAACAACCTAGGTGTCCAATGGTAGAGGAATGGATAAAGAAAATATGATACACAAACAATGGAATATCATTCTGTCCTAGAAAAGAAGAAAATCTGATCATTTACAACAACATGGATGAAATTTGAGGGCACTGTGTCAAGTGAAATAAAATCAAACAGGGAAAGAGCAATACAATATGATCTCACTTATGTGGAATCTAAAAACTAATTCAAAGAACAGTAGACTAGTGATGGGCGGGGTGGGGGAAGTGAGTAAAGGTGGTCCAAGGGTGCAAACTTCTAGTTATAAAATGAGTAAGTTCTGGGGATCTAATGTACTGCATGGTGACTATAATTAACAATACTGTACTGTATACATGAAAGTTGCTGAGAGATATTTATTTTTTAATGTTTATCCATTTTTGAGAGACACAGATAAGCATAAGTGGGGGAGGGGCAGAGAGGGAGACACAGAATCTAAATGTCAGCACAGAGCGTGACGCAGGGCTCGAACCCACGGACCGTGAGATGATGATCTGAGCTGAAGTCAGACACTCAACCGACTGAGCCACCCAGGCGCCCCTGAAAGTTGCTGAGAGATCTTAAAAGTTCACACCACACACACAAAAGGTTACTGTGTAATGGTGATGGATATGTTAACTAACCTTATTGTAATTATTTCATGAGCTATACATATACCAAAGATATACACATATCAAATCACGTGGTACACCTTAAATGTACCCCCATGTTATATGTCAATTATAGCTCAATAAAGCTGGGGAAAAAATAGATCGTAATAGCCCTCCTCTTTCTGGTGAGGGAGAGAGAGACACTTTTTACCGATGGAAATTTCCTTTACAAAAGAAAGCTTGTGCTGTTTTAGAAGCATTTCCTATGTTGGCTGGTTCTTAATGGCCTTGAGCTTAAAATAGTCCCTATTCCAAAGAAGCCTACTTTGGGGTGTTTCTTGATGATTTGAAAAATTGGGTCCATGGTATTTCCTTTGAAAAAGCAAAGCCCCAATAATTTTAGTAATTCCAGAAGCTCTGTATACCTCTTTAAATCTAAACTACTATCTGTAGGTGGTCATGTAAAGTTATGTATGATGAAAGATCCCATTATACTTAAAATCATTATTAGGAAGTCTAAGCTTTAGAACTGATTAAATCCAAGACATTTGATCAGTCACTTAAACTTTTGGAGTTTGGTAACTCTTCTGTAAATAATGAGATGAAAGTACTCATCCTATCTACATTAAGTTCAAGTGTTTTTAGGTTTATTTATTTACTTTGAGAGAGAGAGGGAGGGAGCATGGGTGGGAGGAGCAGAGAGAGAGGGAGAGAGAAAACTGGAGCAGGTTCTACGGTGTCGGCGCAGACGCCGATGCAGGGCTCAATCCCACAAACTGAGATCATGACCTGAGCCGAAATCAAGAGTCAGACACTTAACTGACTGAGCCACCCAGGTGCCCCTCTACGTTACAGGGTCCTAATGAGGATCAAAAGTAAGGCAAAAATTTTGATAAGCATTGTCCCTGTGCAAATGGATGTTACTTATCATTAGTTATTGGTATTAGAAAATAGCTCAGTCATCAATGTTGTAAGACGGACTCTTGGTGCTCCCTTAGGGATCAACCCATGACCTTGTATTGTCCATATTTGAACCAACTAGTCTAACAGCCCATACCAGATAGACTAATTCTCCTTTGCATATGTTTATCACGAAATCTAGGTTTTCATTATTTTGGAATACTATTTCACAAGGCCTTTGATGAGAGTATTAGCAGTAGTCACTATGGCGGTGCCTGGGTGGCTCAGTTGGTTAATTGTCTGGACTCTTGATTTCAGCCCAGGTCATGATCTCAATTGTGTGATAGAGCCCCACGTCAGGCTCTATACTGACACTGCGGAGCCTGCTTGGGATTTTATACCTCTCTGCCCTTCCCCTACTTGCTCGCCTTCTCTCTCTAAAGAAGCAGTCATTATGTAGTTTAGAATGATCACCATGGGGCGCCCGGGGTGGCTCAGTCAGTTTAGCGCCTGACTTTGGCTCAGATTATGATCTCACGGTTTGGGAGTTCGAGCCCTGGGACGGGCTCTGTGCTGACAGCCTGGAAACTGGAGCCTGCTTGGATTCTGGGTCTCATTCTCTCTCTGCCCCTCCCCCACTTGTGCTCTGTCTCTCAAAAATAAAAAAAAAAAATGCTCATCAGATATCTATACAAGTCCTTTGCACGTAGTGTTATATCACTGAATGCTGATAAATTAATAAGTGGTATATAATCTATATGTCTTATAATCTATGTGAGTCTTAAGTGTCTATTACTATGCATTCTGGGCTGCATATTCTATGACAAGTATTGGAAGAGTGGCTTATTTATATCGTAGGAACATGGACTTGGAGGTTGCTCGTGAATCCCAGGACCTCCACCGCATCTACAGGCAAGAGGGGCATCCCCACCACCAGCTCTACCAGCACCACCTCTAACTGCAGGAATTGCTCCTCCAAGTCCTTGGCCTCTACTAAATGGTATCCACTGCCTTTGCCTTTGTTGGGGGATCGGTGATCCATAATCACACCACCCGCTCTGAATTATGAAATGGAAGTACAAATAAATGTATAAACCTGCACTCCATGTGTATTTCGCAATCTTTAAGTTTATTTATTTTGAGAGAGAGAGAAAGAGCCTGTGTGAGTGGGGGAGGGACAGAGACGGCTGCGGGGGACAGAGGATCCAAAGCGAGCCCTGCACTGTTGCATATTCGTCTTCTGCCACTTGGCCAAATCCATTTAACAACCCGTGTGTGTGCCTGCATATGTGTGCGTGTGTATTCTTTGGGATACTCCACATATTGGAAATCATGTCATGTGCAGAAAGACTTGCCGATTTGGGTGGCTTTTATTTCATTTTCTGGCCTAATTTTGCTATAGCTAAAACTTCTAGCAAAATCTTGAAGTGGCAATAACAGGCAACCTTCTGTTTCTCGTGGGAAAGATTCTGGTCTTTCACTACTGAGTATGATACTGGCTGTGGGCTTTTCACATGAGGAAGTTCCTATTTTATTGAATGTTATAAATGGGTATCTTGTCAAGTGGTTATTCCGCATCATTTGAGACGACCATGTGGTTTTTCACCTCCATTCTATTTATGTGTACATTACATTGATTAATTTCCTTACATTCCCGGAGTAAATCCTGGTGTATAATCTCTAAATACGCTTGGATTGTCTGCCAGTATTTTGAGGATTTTTATGTGTACAGTCATACAAGATATTAGTCTGTACTTTACTTGTGTTATTTTTGCCTGGCTTTGGTATTGGGGTAATGCTGGTCCCAAACAATGACCTAGGATGTTATGACAGTTCATCTTATGTGTCAACATGGCTAAGCCATGGCACCTAGTATCTGTTGAATATCTGAGTCTAAATGTTCAAGTGCGGGGCGGGGCACCTGGGTGGCTCAGTCAGTTGAGCGTCCAACTTCGGCTCAGGTCATGATCTCACGATTCGTGAGTTCGAGCCCCGCGTCGGCTGGGCTCTGTGCTGACAGCTCGGGGCCTGGAGCCTGCTTCGGATTCTGTGTCTTCCTCTCTGTCTGCTCCACCCCTGCTCACACTCTGTCTCTCTCTCAAAAATAAATAAAGAGTAAAAAAAAAAAAATGTAAACGTTGAAGTGCAAGTATTTTTAGATGAGACTGACGTTTCAGTAATTAAAGCAGATTACTATCTCCAATACAGGTGGGTTTCATCCAATCAGTTGAAAGCCATACGAGAAAAACGATGGAAGTCCCGCAAGGAAGAGGGAATTCTACCCCCACATTACTGTGACACTCCATCTGCAACATGAACTTTCTCAGGCATCTCAAGCATGCCAGCCTACCATGCAGATTTCATACTTCTCAACCTCTACTATCACATAAGCCAATTTCATAAAATAAACCTCTCCTCTTCTATATATGGCTCCATTTCTCCGGAGAACCCTAACTAATACAGATGCATTCCAAATTTATTAGAAGATTTGAGGATTAGTGTTAATTGTCTTTAAGTGGTAAAATTTACTGGTAAGGACATCTTGTCCTGGAATTGTATTTGACAGGAGATTTTGACTACTTATTCAAAATATTTAATAGCTACAGGTCTGTTAAGATCATCTATATCCTCTTGAGTCAATTTGGTAACGTGTATTTCTAGTAATTTCACCTGTTTAATTGTTGGGTACAGTTGTTCATAATACAGTCCAATCACCCATCTAATTTCTGTAACATAGGCCATAATGTCCGCCCCATCCTCACATTTTTAACTTCAATTATTTCTATTTTCTCCATTCAGTGTAGCTAAAGATACAGAACTTTTAGTTTTCTTCATTATCTCCTATTCTGCATTTCATTTATCCCTGCCTTAATTATTTTCTTCTTTCTGCTTGCTTTGTAGTAGTTTGCTGATCTTTTTCTGACTTCTAAGTGAAAGGTTAGGTTGTTGATTTAAGGTCTCCTCTTTTTTAAACTACATGTTTAGGGGTGCCTGGGTGGCTCAGTCAGTTAAGGATCCGACTTTGGCTCAGACCATGATCTCATGGCTCCTGAGTTTGAGCCCCACATAGGGTTCTCTGCTTTCAGCAGGAAGCCGGAGCCTGCTTAGGATCCTGTCTCCCCTCTCTCTCTGCCCCTCCCCTGCTTGTGTACGTGCTCTCCCGCTCTCAAAAATAAACATTTTTTAAAAATTAAAAAAACTACGTTTATATAATTATAATTCCCTCAAGTGTCTGAATCTTGGTTTCAGCTCAGGTCATGATGTTGCAGTTTTGTGGGTTTGAGCCCCGGGTCTGGCTCCGCACTGACAGGGTGGGACTTACTTGGGATTCTCTGTCTCCCCCTCTCTCTCTTCCCCTTCCCCACTCACTGTCTCTCAATAAATAGACTTAAAAAAAAAAAAAAAGAGCCTCTCAGAAAAGGCTGCTGAACAAATGACCCTCACCAAGGTCGTAACTGTATAGATGGAGACACCGGGCGACTGTCCCGTGGACTCACCACCCCCCACCTACCCAGAAGCATCATGGGGCACAATGGCAGAGTGACTGCCTGAGACTCCTGGAGGTGAGCTGGGCAATCCGCTTCCCTGTCTCCTAAACTTAACGTGACCCTATCAGTTCCTCTTGCTACCACAGTGGCCTATTCCCTCTAGAGCCTGCTCCCGAGCTCTTACGCTAGATGTAGTACCTGGCTGAGCACAGGAGGGAGGCAATACCTCAAGGAGAATGGGGGACATCCAGGTCATCGTGATACCTACTGCTACAAATCAGTGTCCTTGGAAAACTAGGATTCTGCCCCCGAAGACCCATATGGATTTCCATCCACAAGAATGCAGAGAAAACAGGGTCCCTGTTACCAGGAAATGCAGACTTCAAACAGAGATGTGGTGATGGGTTCACAGATGCATGTATTCCTTAGATGTCTATATGTATATTCCCACTGCCAGCAAGAAACCCAAAAGAAAGAACCATGACGTGCCCCAACAGCCCAGCAGAGCCAACCCCACTTGAAGCGCCTGGATGACTTTTAAGCCTCCTTGGGCCTTTCGGGATTCTCAAAAGGCTGAGAGGCTGCCCTTTGCAAACCTGCGTTGACATTTCAGGAGCAACAGTGCCATCAAGTGGAAGCTTTTTAAAAATTTAACATTTATTTATTTTTGAGAGAGAGAGAGAGAGAGAGAGAGAGAGAGAGAGCGAGCACAAACAGGCGAGGAAGAGAGAGAGAGAGGGAGACACAGAATCCAAAGCAGGCTCCAGGCAATGAGCTGTCAGCACAGAGCCCGATGCGGGGCTCGAACCCACAAACTGTGACATCATGACCTGAGCCGAAGTCGGACGCTTAACCGACTGAGCCACCCAGGCACCTCTAGTGAAAGCTTTTTGAGCAAGGCCTGCAGATGCTATCTGTGGATCCCCTGAGGAAGCCCTATGATGGGAGGAAGGGTGGGACTGGAACACCCAAAACATTCTGGAGAAGACCCAGCAGCCTGGCAACCTCCATTATCAGTGAGGAAACCAGAGGATGGATAGAGCCCAGCTCCAGCTGAAAGAATGCTAGCTTGGCCAGGCTGTGGGGGCAGGTGGCCTCGGCAACCGCCATGTTAAGAACCAAGGAATTAAAGCTCCTACTCCAGGTCATCTGGCCTGTGGATCAGCACCTTCAGCCCAAAGCAAGTTCGGCCAGTGGGGCTTCTAGGGTCTCAGGGCAACAAGAAACCCAGGACTGGAGTGTCTAGTCCAAGATGCCACAGAAAGAAGAAAAAAAGGAGAGGACAGCCATCTTGTCAGGGCAGCGTTTTGCAGACAGGATAAAGAATCTCCTGATTATGTAATACTAGACCCAGACAAGGAAGAGCAATGTGGTGTACCGCAAATTAGAGCTCGGATTGTTTACCTTTGGTTCCCACAAAAACAAAATCTGTCTCTCAGGCTTCACAGTATCCTAGACAACCTAAATTTGTCCCATATGACAGAGGGTGTGGATATCCACTAAGGATGGGAGGGAATAGAAACAGACATGACCAGGATCAGTACCTTGAGGTGGACGTCATCCCCCAGAGTGAGAGAATCCACGTGTACTTTCCTCACATGCCTCAGGAACTTTGTGCCCCGGGAACGCCCTGTGCCACGGCAACCTCCTAGTGTATGGGTGTATGAAATGGCTCCTCATCTTTGTGGGGACACCTGGGATTTTCCACATGGGGTATATGTTCTGTGGTACAGCCATCGGCCTGGGCAGACAGAGGCCACTTTAAATTAGGGACAAATCAGACCACATATGTCAGGACCTGGACCCAAGGCGATGAGAAAAGGTTGAGCACAAAAGGTTCAACCCACATAAAGTTACATGGCAAAATTCAAGGTGACTCACAAGCATGAAACGCAGAGCAGGGAGCTGGTTTCAGCACCCTTACAGGGAAGATGAAAGCAAGAGGTGTGTGAAGAGGGAGAAGCTCAACCTGGAGACTTGCTCCCTGCTGACACCCAACAGGTAAGAGGCAGGCAAAGGGCACGAACCACCCCAAAGGTTCTTCCAGAAGTGGGCTATAGGGACAGTCAGGGTCTGGAAGAAAAGGCTGTGTGCCTGGGAGTATGTCCTGTCCTTGGCTGATATGCTTGATCTGTGATCAACTCGGGGGAGAGAAGGGTTGGGTTCCCTCAGCCCAACAGCCCTAAGTTGCAGGCAGTGTTTTCACACCTCTTGTTGATTCTCCAGCTGCAGGGGGGTGGGGTGGGGGGCTGGGGGGTTGTGGGGTGGAGCATGGGGCTGACACCTGCGAAGCCAGGCTTGAATGGAATCCAGGCCATTCCTTCTCTTGGCTATAGTGAATCTCAAGCTTTTGGGAAAGCCGGAAGTATGTAAATGAATGGCCAGGGTGTGGGCACTGCTCTGCTCAATTCTGCACGTGGGGAGGCAGGCCCAGCAGAATGCATGGAGCCCCCAGGAGAAGGCAGTAGAGCTAAGTGATTCCAATTTAGGCTCAAAGTATCCCTCAACTGGATTCCTTTGTTGTGGTGAGGGCCATTCCTCTTCTAGACTCGGCGTGTGTGTTCTTGTTGGGCCTCAGGCCCCTTGGCACTGGGAGCCGGGCTTTACATCTCA